CCTATCTATCTATATCCCTAGACTAACTGATTTTTTATCTATTTTATTCTGGTTCTGGAAATGCTGTGTCATTTCAGTATATTCTGAAAACTGGAGAAGGCATTGCAGAAGTTTGCATTAGTGGGTTTATTGCTTTTGACATTCCTCCTCCACGCGGTCCTCTCTGGTATGTTACCCTTCTAATGTTAATCAATTTATATTATTTATGCATGCACTTGGATTGCACAGAACAACCATTCATGACTATTGTTCAAAGCTTTGCCTTTGAATTATTTATTTTTCTGATATTGCTTGTGACTATCTCTACCTGAAGGATTCTTGGGGATGTTTTCATGAGGGTATATCACACCGTCTTTGACTATGGGAATCTCCGAGTTGGTTTCGCCAAAGCTGCCTAACAAGACATGTAGGAGATTATGTTGTAGGGCATGTTTTAATAAAAACTTGTTAATGTGTTGTAAATAAAGCTCGTCTGTAACTATCATGGCGCAGGTATTGTGTGTACTTCTGTACTTGAAAGGATAATTTCCATCAAACACCATATTGAACCATAGATTATTTATTGTACACCCATCTGTTATGTGCGATGAAGATAGCAATGGATGACCTACAGTTTCTGCTCTATTTAGATTCTCTAGCCAAATGATAATTCCAATGGATCGTTACTGACATAGTGTGCTATAGCAATCATAGAGATGAATACAAAATGCTTGGTGCCATGAATGATTTTTCTTTTCCTAATGTATTGTTAACTTGTCTTCAAACGTTCTGGTACTAAATATCATTGTTTGATTTTATGCTGACTCTAAATTGAGTTTGGAGCAAAGAATCTTGAAATAATGTTTGTAGTGAAGAAAAAGAAAAACTTGAAGTCATTCCATTTTTTTTTCAACTAGCTAAATAAATATCATTAATATGAAAAAAATGACATTATTTAGTAACATTTAAAACAAGATTAGAACAAATCAATCATTTGAAACCATACTGAATCTGTGGTGACTACAATGAGACTTGAAACTATTACTACTTGGTGTCAACCGATGTTTATGAAAAGTGTATTGGGTTGGTTGGTTGGCTTGATTGCCAACCCATAACCTTTTGAAATTAAGAAGAATAAATAAGTTGGGTTTGCCCCAAAATTCTTAAAAACCATTTAAGATATATATAGATTGGTTGGTTTTGGTACAGATTCAATCAGAAGGCAACCCAATAATATTTTTACATCCTTTAATTCAAGAACCAACTCAACCAATTGACCAGCATACCTATTAATTGCAATCTGGTGAAGTTGGGTTGGTTATTGAATATTGAGCAATGATATTTTCCCAACTCATTTTTTCCAAAGCATCTATTCTATAACTATGATATAATAATAATAATAATAATAATAATAATAATAATAATAAAATATAAAAAATAAAATCTTAATATTATTATATTAATAAAAATAATTGTTAGGTGGTTATCCTTTAAGAGGTTGTAAAGATATATAGTTTTCCTTGAATATGACATTTTGAATGAATATAATATATATATATATATATATATATATATATATATATATATATATATATATATATATATATATATGTATGTTTAATTGCATATCTCTCTAATTTGTAATTTGCGCACTTTTAGTTTATCAAGTTTCTTCAGTTAATTAATTTATTTTTCTTTTTAAAATGAAACAATTTACTTTTTTCATAATTTTTTTTCTACTTAAACCATCAAATTCTCCTTTTCTACTTAAACCATTTATATATTTTGAATTGATTAAATTGTCTTCTACCCAAACTCATCAATCAAAAATCAAATTTCATCCAAATTAATAAAGCTCAATATTTTCTCTTTTAAAATATAAATCTCAAATCTTATAAAACTCTTCAAATTTAATATAAGTTACAACTAAATTTCTTACTTTAACTTTTAAATTTGCTTTACATCTCAAACCCATAAAAAAAAAGCATCAAATATATGGATACAAATACGAATTTGAGGATTCCATGTATAAGAAAAAGAATGAGAAGATCAAATCTATTTAATTTGAAAAATAGAAATAAACTTGAGGGACCAAAATCTTAAATAATTTAAATTAGAAAGATAAACGACACAATGAATCCTTTTAGAAAAAGTGCAATTAAACCTTTATAATCTTTTAAAGATATAAAGCGTAGTTCTTACAATGGTCATATAAAACATTAAGAGACTAATTCATTATAATTGTTAATTTAATGATATAAGGGATACAAATTGCTTTTTGATCTCTTCAAAAGTAATGATTGAGATTTATTCATTTAAATTTGACTAAGCATTATCTTCATTAACATTATCTCTAGAGTAAGAAAGTGAAGAATGGATAAATATTAAATTAAGGCATTTAGCAAACAAAATCCACTTTAAATCAAAGGATATATCCTCGCATCAACACAATAATTATTAGATAACTTGATAATATTTGATTCGAACTCTCATAAAAATTATAATATGAACATTCGAAGGCTAGTGCTAGTTGTAGATAGTTATAGGAAGTTATCAAGGGATTAAAGAGAGAGAGAGAGAGAGAGAGAGATAAAGAGTATGAGTAAGAATTTTGAAAATTATTTTAAAGAATGTGGCAAGAACATATTCTTAACAGTAAATTATAATTTTTATGAATCCAAATTCAACCTAAGTTGAAGTTTTCTTAGAATTTTCAAGGCAAGAACAATAAAAAAAAAAAAAGAGAGAGAGAGAAGAACTTTGAATGGGATTAGTTTGAGTTAGAGGGTTGGAGTAATTGGTTTAACTTTGAATGGGATTAGGCTCGTGTTTACATCCTTTTCCCTTTTCATTCCGACGAGGCAAAATCAAATGAAAAAGAGAATAAACCGCAATCTTCTTTTGTAAAACCAGCAATCTTCTTTAACATATTTATATTATGTAAGACGCGAATACTTGAAAGGTTAAGTCACAAGATCCGTACAATTTTGATAATGGATATGGTGAATTGCAAAAAGGAAGACAATAGTTTACAACATTCAGAACAACCTTTGTTCTCCTTTTGTTTGCTGGTTGGCTTGAAGGCTTAAAATGTTTGGAATAAAAGTAACCCTTAAACAATAGTTAAGTCTATTTTGCCACCTTACTTTATTAACCTTTCATTACAATTATCATTGCAAATTCTCCTTTATAATCATCACAACCAACCATTAAAGGATTTAATAGATACTATGAAGTTAACAAGTTGAAGATGATAATGATGATGATGATGATGGATTTTGTGAGAGCTAATTGCAGAATTTCTCAATTCTTTTCCTTTTCCATGTATTTAGGCAGTGACAGAATAGTTGTGGAAAAATGAAATAGAATTTGATTAAATTTTTGGATGGTGGAAGGTTAAAGTGCAGAGAATATGAGGAGATGTATCCATCACACAAAAGTGTCTTAGGTCTCAGATGTAACACTCACTGCTTTCATCGAATCCTGCTTCCCTTTCCTGCTTTCATTATTGCCTTCTACCGAAAACATAACTCACTCCACACCAATTTTCTCTATATACAGAAACTCTACTTATAATTTTAAGAACATGAAAAATCAATATGTAATATTTTCATTATATATTCCATCGAACTCTAGTTTGGTGACACCATTTTACAAATCTAAATATCTTCCCTGAGCCCATTTAGGGAGAGTATTTGCTATGATTGTTCTAGAATTATGCAGAGCTTCTGATTTAAGTATGAAGCACAAAACAAACGTTATTCTTCTGTTGTACGTAGCTTTTAAACCTTAAATGTGATTACAGCAAAGGAGCATAATGAGAATGACTTAAAATAACACTTCTAATTCAAAAAAAAGAATATAAATATAATATAATATATAGAGAGATCCGTGTCTAAGAGTGCAAATTGGGTATGCCAAACTATGGCCCCTAACAAATATTTAAACCCAGATATTTTTTTTAGATTCCCAAGCTTGACAACTAGCTAGGAGTGATAAAAGACAAAAAATTTAATTTAAAAATAAGTTACTGCTTGTTTGGGTTTAAGCACTCCACAAGTAAAAACTTGTAGTGGTGGTTAGTTTAGTAAATGTATATTAATAATATATTTGTATGAGCCTTTCCAGCAGGTGGCAGCCACCGGTTTGTAGCCACAAAGGACTTTTCCAGGGGAAGAGAATAACTTAGAAGAAAAGGGGTCTTTTTTTTTTTTTTTTTTAAACCACCTTTATCTGTTTCTTTAAAAATTTCAAAAACTCCTAACCATACCATCTGTGATGTGCATGAACCATATCAATAAAGCTGTTTTTTTTACTACCTTTCTTCATTCTTCACTTAGTTAATAACCCATTAATCTTATTCTTTACACCAGATTAATAATATTGTTTGTTTAGCCTTGTCTATTTTAATGTGACAGGCATAAATAAATGCATCTTACTGTTCATTTTATCCTAGCAGTGCCAACATGAACAGCCACCATGCAGTTTGCTAGAATGTTACATGCTTTAACAATTATATATTATGAAATATGCTCTCTTACCTAGCTGTGAGATTGTTCTCCTGAGGTTATAATTAAACTTGGATTTAGTTCCTTCCTCTTGTTGACTGATGATAGGGTTAGAGTATAAAGTGGAAAGCTATAACCAATGATTAAAAAAATCAATGGGGTAGGTTTGAACACTTTCATTTCATGATTTATTTTCCATGTTAAGGTTAGTATGATCATATATCAAGCTTCTTAGATAAATCCCGTAACAAAGTGACATTCTCCACAGTGGCCAATACCCAATTGGTAAATGCTTAACAAAGAAAGGAGATTTTGATTGTCCCAATTAGTGAGAAATCAAATCTGCTTGGTATCAGTCTAGTTTCAACATGTGCACAAATTCATGCAGAAACAGTAAAATGATTGTTAATTACAAAGAGAAAACAGTGAGAAAAGTTGACGTGAAAGCAAAGCTCAGAGCAGAAAAATTGTGCATTATTGAACAAGAAACATAACCGAAACAAAACCGATCACATGAGTTCTCAGGTCAAGCAAGAAACCAAACCAGTGGAGCACAGAAGACGTGCCCTGTCCAAACGTTAAATAATTGTTTACTGTCCCATGTGAGCATGTTTGGACCATGAATAATGGGACTTACCCCTGGTTTGAATCAGATTCCCTAGTCTTAGCTTAACAAAGGACGTCTAGTAGTACTATATAAATTGAGACCCCCTAGCCTGCAAGTTGGAACACAAGACAATTCTTCAATTCTTTCCCACTCACTAAGCCTAGTATTCTCACCCACCAAAGACACACTACTCACTACGCTCTCAAGTGTTTGCACTAGTGATACGATGGGTGGCAACAGGCAAAGGAAGTCTTCCTCCTTCAAATCTGTCTTCAACATCTTCAAATCTAGCAATAGGCACAGAGGAGGGCATTATGATGCTTATGATGATGGTCCAAAGCAATGGACCAGAGTCTGGCCAAGTGATGAGGACAGAGGTCGCTGGGGGGTGGCTGATCCTGTCATTGACAGCAGAGCCACAGCTTTCATTGCTCAATACAAGAAACGAGTTTCTGAGTCAGAAGTTCACTGCCAAGCTCAAGTCCAGCAGTAGGAAACCAAACTCTTGTATCGTGGATTTAAATAATTTGATTGTGCCTCTACTGTAATTAGCTATTGATTATCATATGTGAATTCCACAATATTAATCTTGTTATGAATAAACCTCCATCTCGTTAATTCAAAGTTTGGCTTTCTTCTGGTGGAACGTACTGTATTATCTAATACTAGTACATATTGCCCTTCAACTTTATCTTTTCTTCTCGTCTTCTGCATCCAACATGCAGTTCTGGAATCTGGATACAAATATACATTATATCATGTATCCCATCTGTTTGAGTTCTTTTGCAAGGGTCAAGAGCTACACCTGCCAAAACACCGAAATATGTTGATAAGCGAACATTAATTTTGCTTCCAAATGTAAAGAACAACGTAAAATATTCAGATAATTGTCTCTTTTGTTACCGTTTTATTTGAGAACTTCAACGAAGAGAAGACCTTTCTCACGGCAGATAATGGTTGAGACATCCTCAGATCAGATTAACATTATTCATTTGATCCCTGGCTAATACCCTTAACACGTTTATACAAAACTCGGGTAGCTTTCGATTATACGATGTGAAACGCAATGAGTAATGTGAACATGAATAACCTTTGAAAATTGAACTTGAAGGTTTGTGTCTGTCAGTTGAAGCACATGTGATATAGTCTTTCAAATTTAAAAACGTAAACTTTTTCCACTGTTCAAGAGGTTATGGTCCATACCATCGTTGTACTCATCAATTGTGTTGCGTGTACTGTTTTTCTTCCAATATAAAGTAAAGAACCAAGTACTCAAAGAAAATGTTTTTATTTCCTTCCCATGTATTCCGAGAAACTACGTTGTAATTGTCGAATTACTCGTTTTTTTTCTACCTTTTCAAGCAAGCGCTTCACGTTTTTCTCATGGCTATCTTTGTTTGTGACTTTTTGAAGCGAGGAACATTTGAACTTTCTCAGAGTAGCATCACATTCACTTGTTTGATCCTTCAAATATAATGCATAACCTTTCGTGATGTATATTTATTTTTGGTTATCTATGGTGTACTGACATGACACTTGGTACATCTGCATTTAAAAATTCTTCATTACTTGTATGCCAACAACATATCAACGATCAATATTCGTCAAGAGTTAAGTGAATGCCAGCTCTTGGAATCCTACATAGTATAGTACAGACTTCCATCAAGCGAGTGTTTGTGGTTTCTTTTACGTTGCAATGCGTGCGTTTCACATCTTTCTTCTTTACCTGTTTATTTCATGTTAATCAGTTTCCATATTGCCATTTCCTCTCCCTTCTTTTTGGCCCTACTTTTATATTCTTCCCTTACTATGTATTTACTACCACATATAAATACTTTTCATCTCTGAATTTGACAAATGTTATTGAAGTTCTTAAATTTAAGGAAATAAAAAAGAAAACTGTTGTTTTTAAGTCTGTTTTCTGTCTATCACATTTGTGTAGCTGTTAATCCATCTCTATCAACTTTTAGCAAACAATCAAAGTGACATTACCCATGACATGCCAGTACAATCGACACATGAAGACTTGTAAATTTTCTAAAATTAGTCTATGAATTTGACATTCACTGTCACATTAGATTTTGGGTTCCAGGAAATTAAAAAAATAGTTCTTGAATATGTACTCCATCTATCACAGTATTTACAATATGATTTTGTTTATTGCTTTTAACAGGGTCATAATTGACACTTTAATTACCTTTGTGTTTTACTCAGTAGAAGCCAAGATTATACATCTTTATTATATTCGTTACATCTACATTTTACACAATTTACCAATATTCTCATCTTTGAAGGCTTAGAAAGTTTTAAAACTTACAGAACTTCCCCAGCTAGAAAATGAGCCAATTTTATAAACTATCTAACAAGCACCCAATATTGTATAGCTTTCTTTCTACAGTTTATACTAACCCCAAACCTTACTCAAACTACAAAGAGTGAAATTGAGTGGTGGAGTCTTTTACTGCGTTAGATCAAGATCATCCTCATGTTTTGTGAGGATAAGAGAAACACAAACTTGTTACATGTGGCCCTGCACGAACTATTAATATCACCCTCTTCACCTTTGCATTAATTTACATCAGAATGAGTCTAACCAAAGTTACATGATGATATTTACCAATTATGATGCTGTATTGGGAGGATTAATTCCATCTAATTAGACAGTTATGTAAAACATTACGTAGTTTTCCTATGTTCTTAATTCATTATGGAAAATTACTCTACAGGATCTTTAGATTATTGATTTTCACAACATAACATACATGAATCATAATAAGAGAACTAACCTTGATCCATGAAAATTTATTCTTTAATCTTCTCGTTCTCCAATCTTCTTTTCCCAATCTATCTCTTTGTCTTTCTTTCTCTTCTCACGCTTTCTTGATGGTTTACCGTGAAAAACCTTATGACCAGAGACAGAACCCTTATTCCATTCAATTAACCAACGTCCATCAAGTTGGTTACCGTAAGTTAATATTTTTATTTTATCTTTATTTTATTATAACTTCACATAATAACCAATAGGTACTCATATTTTATTAAATCACATTTGGGTCCATTATTATATTTCACATGAGTCACATAATGGAATGAATTAATTAAATTAATTCTAACATTCTCCCACTTGACTCATGTGATGTCATACGATTCTGTGATTTAATACTTAAGTCATAATGCGCATTAAAGGACCTTACATAAATTGGTTTTATCATCATTCATAATTAAAGATACAACTATAACAAGAGTCATGGCGGTTACATGTCATTCAATCGACAGACTCCCTTCCATGTACCACTATATTATCTCTTTCTCCTTAATATGACTTTATAATGAGAAGTCCATAATGGGTTCAAACATAATATCATTTTAATAATAATAACATAATTTGTTTTCTTCATCATAATTTGCATGCATATAAATAAAGAAGAAAACACAAAATTCGAAAACTTATACATTAAAGATCTCGAGTGTCACATAAGCATTAATAATAGCATTAACATTCAACATTCACTAGTGAACATAATGCCCACATTCATTATATGACCAACAAATAATTTGGGCGATAATCCCTTTGTTAAAGGATCAGCAATCATAAGATCAGTGCTAGTATGTTCTATTGACACTCTACGTTTCTGAACTTCTTCTTTAACGACAAAGTATTTCAATTCCATATACTTAGCACATTTGGAATACTTGTCGTTCTTAGAAAAGAAGACTGCTGCGGAATTGTCACAATAAATTTTCAGCGGCTTGGTAATGTTGTCGACTACTCCAGGTCCTGAAATAAAATTCTGCAACCAATTAGCTTGAACTGTAGCCTCGAAGCATGCCACAAATTCAGTTTTCATGGTGGATGCAGCAATGACAGACTGTTTCGCACTTTTCCATGAAATCGTTTCTCCGGATAAAAGATACACATAACCAAATGTAAACTTTCGTGTATCCATACAACCAGAAAAATTTGAATCTGTATATCCAATCACCTCAAGGTGATCAGCTTTCTTATAAGTAAACATGTGATTCTTTGTTCCTTGTAAGTATCTTAAAACTTTCTTTGCAGCCTTCCAATGATCCAGTCCAAGATTACTCTGGTATCTACCCAACATACCAACTGCAAAGCTAATATCTGGCCTCGTACATGTTTGAGCATACATCAAACTCCCAACAACAGATGCATAAGGGATATTTTCCATTTGTTTCCATTCCAAGTCATTCTTTGGACATTTCATGAGACTAAACTTGTCTCCTTTCTGTATTGGAACGGGAGATGCTAAACACTTCTCCATTCTGAATCTCTCTAAAACTTTATTAATATAAGCTTTTTGAGACAAACCTAACAGTCCTTGTGATCTATTACGGAATATTTCTATTCCTATCACATAGTATGTCTCACTCATATCTTTCATTTCAAAGTTGTTAGAGAGAAACTTCTTAGTCTCACTTAATAGACCAAGATCATTAGTCGCAAGCAAGATATCATCAACATACAGAATCAGAAATATAAACTTGCTCCCACTGACCTTCAGATATATACACCGATCAACAGTGTTTTCCTTAAATCCAAAGGACATAATAGTATAATTGACCTTAAGATACCATTGTCGAGAAGCTTGTTTAAGTTCATATATTGATTTCTTAAGTTTACAAACATATGTTCCTTTCCTTCTTCAATAAACCCCATTGGTTGATTCATATAAACATCCTCCTCTAAATCTCCATTCAGAAAAGTAGTTTTAACATCCATTTGATGCAACTCAAGATCATAATGAGCTACTAATGTCATGATAATTCTAAAGGAATATTTCTTAGAAACAGGTGAAAATGTTTCCTTATAATCAATGCCACATTTCTGAGTAAAACCTTTGGCAACAAGATGGGTCTTGTAACGTTCGATATTGCCATGAGAGTCACGCTTAGTCTTAAAGACCCATTTACACCCAACACTCTTGCATCCTTCTGGCAATTCCACAAGATCTCATACACCATCATGTACCATTGATTTAAGCTCATCTTTATAACATCTAACCATTTGTCAGAATTATCACCATTAATGACGTCCGAAAATAAAACTAGGTCATTATCAATACTTAAGTCATTTTCTGACTCTTGTAGATAAATCACGTAATCATTCGAAATAACAAACTTTCTTTCTCTGTAAGATCTTCTTAATACTATTTCTTGTGATTGTTCTATTATCAGTTCATTGTTAATCTCGAGATCATTAATTTGTTGTTCTTCTTTATTGTTGTGTAATTTTACAACATTTGGAACAACAACTCTTGAAGATGTACTAGTTATTGGAACTTGTACTCTAACTTCCTTAATCTCCACATTTCGTGAAGCTTCACTCCCACTGGCTTCACCATTTTCAATGAACCGAACATTTCCAGTTTTAACAATTCTTGTACTATAGGTAGGACAGTAAAACATATACCCTTTTGATTTTTCTGGATAACCAATGAAATATCCACTGATTGTTCTTGCATCCAGTTTCTTTTCTTGCGGATTATAAATTCTTACTTCTTCCTGACAACCCTAAACATGTAGG